TATATGGTTGGCACTCTATTTCATGGGGACAATATTGACTCGAATTCTTTTGTTTGATTGACCATTCAACGAGAAAATCGAAAGTTGGCTATTAAGGCCCTTTTATTGGTGCTATTTTGTACTAATTGGTACCAGCATTATTTCACGGATACATGGTTAGCACTACTAGTCTACAATGAAAGTATGGGAACTGGCCCTTAAATGCGACACTAATTGTTTGAAGGCTATAGAGCGCAACTTCAATTAATATCCTCCTATGATTTTACTGTAAAGGCAATGACACGAAAAATTACTGTAATTTTCAACAACATGCAAACTCTGCGTCTGCGAGCTGCACGCTGAAATATGTTTTTTCGCTGCCGTCAATCAATCCTAATCAGTCGGTACCTTTCATATTTTTGGCTGGCAGCAGCGAAAAACCAAATTTCAGCGTGCGACTCGGAGACACAGAGTTCGCATGTTTATAAAAATTGCAGTAAATGGACGAGATTTATTATATTCCAATTAATGTCTGAAAGGCATTAATGACTGGACTGGCTACATTCCGTACTGATGCCCCTCCCAGTTCGGTAGGGTGTGTTCATTACGTCACCTGTCACTTGGATTGAAGACGATCCTCTAAAGCACCAATCAATCACTGAAATAGATGTTCGTGCTGACAAGCAGTTTCCTAAGACCGCTCTATTAGAGGTTTTCACAAGGTAAAGTCAAGTCATTACTTGCATGGACGCATAAATTTATGCATTCTTAGTAAGAGGATTATTATTTCACGTATAGAGTGGTTTTCAAAAACCCGCGTGAAACAAAGTGTAATAACTAAGGTGTAATAAATTGTAACACCCCGAAAACACAAAAGAAAATGTGGACAAATTAATAAAGTGTATTAAAGTGTATTTCACGGGTTTTTGAAAAACACTCTAATGTCGATGTCATTTATACATGCAACGAGCACTGAGGGGGTACTTCCGCCTCCAGAGCGGGCCGAGGCTAATCCCTACAACAGCATTCTAGGTCACACTCGGGGATAAAATAGTTGTTAAAGATAGGGGAAAACGGTTGTCTCTTATATTTTACCTATAAGATTTTCGGTGTATTTATACATGCATCGAGCACTGAGGGGGTACCTCCGCCTCCAGATCGGCCAGAGGCTCCTACAACAGCGTTATACGGCCACACACAAAATTGGGGGTCGTTGTTAGGAGATAGGAAAAAACTTATTTTTTACATATAATTTTCAGTGTAATTTATACATCGAGCACTATAAGGGGGTACTTCCGCTTCTCGAGCGGCTGCAAGAGGCTAATACTGCAGTTTCGGGTTCTGTTGCTCAGTTTATAGCCTCGGTTGTTAGTCGACTCGATTTAAATTGTGCAGAATATTCATATGTTCCAGTGAAGGTCCGCGAAATTTCCAAGTGTTTGTGTTGTTGTGTGCATTCTTTACTTTACCGTTGGTATTTGTGAATATTTCGACAGTGATTCGAGGCGAAGGCCCGATTCATACGTCGCCTATTTGGGTCGACACAATTACAATAGTATCGACGTTGATTCATACGTCGCATTTAATATGTTGAGCCAAATACTCTGAGCAAGAGTAAGCGGTAAAATCAGTCAGCGGAATTACGGTAAATTGAAACAATTCAAATTAAAACAAAAATGGCGGACGATCCAAAAATACTACTTTTTCTCCGTGCTATTCGATATGCAAGGGAAAGAAGGCAAAATATCATGCAGTCAATGCTGTTACTTGTTAGCAGAATAAGACATATAGCTGGTTTCGCTGTAATGCTGTTGCTTCTTTCCTTACAAAATGGTGTTTACACTTCGGGGACCGTTGCGAGATCGTGTCGCCGCCTCTCAAGAAATGCCGGGTGGTGGGAGACGAGTTGGACTCAGTACACCAACAGAAGATTCAAAAAAACAAAAAACAAAAACCGTATCGCGCATACTCATTACCAAATACCGCTGCTTTTTAGGTACGGGCTTACCTAATTTTAATGTATGCATTTGATTCGGCACAACAGGAGCTCGACGTTTGAATCAGTGTCGAACTTTTGCCGTGCGGCTCGGCTGGCGCGGTCGAGCTCATGCAGTACCGTGTCGAACCTAATCCAGTCGTGCCTTCATGTGCCAAATAGATACTATTAGGTTCGGCACATAAAAAGCGCGACGTATGGATCGGGCCTAACTCTGAGTAAATGAGTCCGCGTGATCAAGGAACACAGCGGTAATTTGGGAGTTGGAAATGGTCTATTCTTGTCCAGAGCGTTGTAGGCCACATTTTTGAAGCAAAATCGCTTGTTAGGGTGATTGTCATTTTACAAAACCTGGATTTAGAGGGGAGGGTTGCGGTTACCCCGGTACCCACTACCTCAGAAAGGAAAATCCTTGATTTTGTCCTTAAAATAGTAACCAAATAATAACCAAAAGTTAAATCCCACAATATAAAAGCACTGAACGTTTTCATGTATACTAAACGTGTATCTGTGTGTAGAAATAGTAGTTCTGACTAGACAGAGCTTTTCAAAAGGTTATCCATAATCATGCATGCATCACTCCAGTGTACGTCTGATAAGACAGTCAGCTAGCCTTGCTAAACTTAGCGGTGTTTACCACAGCGCTCCATTGGCAGACTTAATAATTCATGACACCATGCATATGAGTTCGGCACATGAGTAAGGTATTATTTTACATAGCTATAGAAGTTAAGCCGCGTGGCAGATGCTGTCAGTACATGAGGGCGTAGAAAATTTCGGAGCAAATCGCTAAACATTTGGATCAGAAAGAATTCAAACAGACTCGTCAAATTGTTGACACTGTTCCAAAGGGCGTCGAGTATTAATTCTGCCTTCGTACATAATCAGCGTTCAAGTTTATTACTGAACTATGTACCTATGAAAGGAATACGCAAGGACGGTGAAGCACCCTAAAAAGTAGAGATGCTGAGATTGGAAAAATATAGGAGGCTAGTATGCAAAAGGAAATTAAAAAAGCAAGGGGGATATAGCTTAGCTAGCCAGCTCCTCCCCTCCCCCCACCTCCACCCCCTGGCTGCGGCTGCGGCTGCGGCTGCGTAGGAGACTCAATTCGAGTTAGATGGTAAAGAGTTGTTATTTAACCGGTATTTACCACCTCTGGAGGTGAAGTACTGGATTTTGTCCACTTAAGTCTCCAAAAAAATAAGCCAATACACGGCATAATGCTATACACCGTATTTGTGCCGTGTAGAAATAGTCACTACGCAACCGGCTATCGAGCATTCCTCCAATATGTCTCTGAGAGTATTTATTTGTCACTGTTCCAAAGAGCTTTGACTATTCTGCCTTCTTGATTATAAGCCTGCCAGTTTATCGCCGAACTACGAAAGGACAAGGTTAAACATGAAATTGTATTCTTAATTACGGAACCAAAATTAGAGGGGTGGGGTGGGGCTAACCCGGTACCCACCACCTCTGGAATTGAAGTCCCTGATTTCTTGCACAGATATATTCGAATATAAAAGTTGTACGATATAAATGATTGTACTTTATGTTTACATGCCAAATAACGTCATTGTGTATAGAAATAGTCGGACACCGAGTATTGAACATTTCAATAGGTCTTTGAGGGACGGGAGGGTAACCACATAATATAAAGTCGGGTCCCTATTTTGAATATTATTTTGACCTTGCCCCAAAGAACTACATTTGGTCTGAAGTCAGGGAAATCGCCGAGACGTGAAACCGTAGCTTGCATTGGATCGCCTGACCAGAAAGAATTCAAGTTGTTATTAACTGTCTTCTACGCCCCGGAAATGAAGGGAACGAGGAACGTTAATGAAAGAGAGAGAGAGGAAAAACCATATATTCGAATTTAATTATAGACTAGAGGGGGGAGGGGGA